TGTCCTGTGTGAGGCTTCTGTGATGTTTGCTTTGTCCACTTTTAGTTACTGAAACAGTATCAAAGCCTTTAACACTGAAAATGCACAAATGAATATTGGATGGTTTCCTTTACCCTACATTGTATAATTATTATTTTACTTTGCAGAAGAAGATAAGGAGGAGGTTTCAAATGAAACAAAGGTAATTGTGATGTATTTCTTGTAAAAATGTTTATCCTTCATTGAACATTAACAGCTTGGATAAGGGAAGTGGAAAACAGTTCTATTTAAGAATTTGCTTTGTTACAGTTTTGTCCTTTTATCTTGATTTTACATTAATGGTTCTTAGCACACAAACAAATACAAGTATTTGTTTTCTCAGGATGATACAGGCACTGATGTTAAACAGCCAGAGAATATGGATATCAGCACAACATCAGGAGGAAATTCTGAAGCCAAGCCCCCAGGGTCATCCCCAAATCAAGAAAAAGGTAAAGTGTTAATGACGCTTCATTTTCCCAGTAAATTATAAACTGACAGAAAAATATCCGAGATTCAATTCTATTTATGGTTTTACACCATGTGATAAAATGCAGAAAAAAAAAGACTAATTACACTAATGTCCGGTGTTTGTGTTAGACTGTAATCCTACAGCAGGATACCTCAATGCCAATACTTCAGAATATTTTAATGATATTATGCACTGTAGGTGCATAGTATCACATTCAAAGGTTTTGAAAAGTTATTATGAGAAATATATTTCTGAAATTGTTCCGGGTCTGAAATTGTTCCGGGTCGTAACAATCTACAAAACACAATGCAACAAGGGAAATAGTGCTCCAGGGAGGAAGGTAATTCATATATCCACAGCACAGCAAAACGCCGAGAAGTAAGGCGGCCTTCTTCCACTTGTCCCCCTCCCTATTCTTCAGCAGGTGATAAGCATTGTCGAGATTCATTTTGCTGAAAATAGGTGGTATCTGTATGAGAGTAGATTGTTTAGACAAACGACATAATCTGCTGGAGGAGGGGGGCAGCAC